TAGGCCTCGAGTGGGGAGCCTTGCAATGTTTTTCCTTTTTTATTTTTAAAAAAGCAGGAATGCTGCGATGTTTTCCAAGCTTGTTTGCTTCTCTGTCAAGTATCGTAATAAATTGCGTGGTAAATAAACTTGTTAAAGATATTGGATAAAAGTGCTTCAGGTGTATGAGTTGCAATGAAGTTTTTTTTTCACGCCAGGATTTGGCATTTTCTGGGAATTTTTTTTAATAGGAGTTGGTTTGAAATGGAATTTAAATATGAGTTGACTCACTCCCAGAGTCCCATTATGTAGCTTAAGTATATCTGCCCACAAAAGAAGAAAAAGAACTATTTTACATATCTGGGAGACCACAGAGTTCTGATTGTTCACACTGTGGGAGAAAAATATTCCTGAAATCGACTTAAATAGATAAAGGAATTAGAGATCCTTTTTCTCTCTGAGTGGAGACTCCAGGCAGCTGATAATGAGGAAAAAAACCCCAAAAGTAGCCCCAAAAGGAGGAGAACCAAAGGCTGCCGTGACATTCCCCTCAAATCCATCACTTCTGGAACAAGATCCAATGGGAATAATGAGGAAAAATAGTGAGGGGATTTATATTTCCATGAGAGGTGGATTTTTCCTCCTTTTAAACTTTTCCTGGAAGCCACAGCGAGCCGGAGCTGCAGCAGGAGCTGCTGCCTCATTCCCAGCCCCTCACCTGGGAATTGCCATCTCCTTTCCTCCCATCCCAAAGATCCCCCAGGATCCCTTTCCCCCGGGACACTTTCATCCTGTGCATCCTCACAATCCCAAGGAATTTATTCCCACCCACATTTGTATGGATGTGTGTTATTATCCGTGGTAGGACTCTCTGGAATTCTGCTTTAATGAAGTCAATTAATAAATCAGTAATTTTCTATTGGAATATTTTGCATTTCCAGAATTTTTCTGCCTTTCTGCACATCCATTTACCAGCAACTCCACCAGGATATCCCTGGCAGTGCAACCCCAGGGATCATCCAGGGACATTCCAGTGACTCCTGCCTCAGCACAGGAAGATTTTCTCCTGCCATCCTGGAGCTGCTTCATGCCAAAGTCTGTGCCCTGCCAGCCCTCCTAATTCCCAGATTTCCTGGCTCCAGGACACGCTGAGACGTGATTCATGCTGCCTCAGGATTTCTCCCATTAAAAAATTCCCATTTTCCTTAGCAGTGACTCCATCTTTTTGCCTCCTCATTGTCCTTCTGGCGGCCCAATTTGCAGCTTGGCCAAGTTTCTTTTTTTAATAGCGTTTTTAATATCATTGTTCAGGTTATAAAAATAAAATCCCTTGAAATATTGTTTGGGATGAGAAAGGAAAGTCAGATCCCACGGGGCTGCTGCACTTCCAGTCACCCTTCCCAAAATTGATGGCTGGGTCTGCCCTGCCAGAGGACAAAATCCCGTTCTCTGCGAGCACAGGGATTTGGGATTTGTGGTTTTTGTGGATGAAATGGAAGAAATGGGACAAATTTCTGTGTCCTCTGTGGGCTGGGAGCTCAGCCCCAAGGCTCCGTGCTGGCACTGGAGTGGGAAATGTCTTGCAGCGAAATTCCTGCAGTTTTATTGGAAGTCTTGAGGCTGAGGGCACTTGCAAGGCAGCCAAGAGAAATAAAAGTCGGGATCGTGGAGCGGTTTGGGTTGGAAGGACATTCAGGATCATCCAATTCCCCCTCCTGCCACGGGCAGGGACCCTTCCCACTACCCCAGGCTGCTCCAGCCTGGAACTGAGCCCTTCAGGATGGGGCAGCCACAGCTTTTCTGGAAAACCATTCCCCACCCTCACAGCTGCTCCACTTTGAGGTTGCTTTCTTTGGTTTTATTTTTAATTCCCGAATTTCTGAGCCATTTCCTTCTGTTTCAGCACCGAGGCCCACGATTCATCCCCACAATTCCCTGGAAAACGCCTCATTTATTAATTAATTACCCAGCACTGCTGCTGCCGGGCCCAGCTGTCGGAGCACCCAGCTTGGATCCAGCCCCTCTCCAGGGATTTCTGGACAATCCCCCCTTGCTCCTCCTCCTCCTCCTCCTCCTCTTGCCGCGGATCCTTTTGTGCAGCTCCGTTTCCTCCCCACCTGCTCCCTTTTCCCAGCAGCAATGGATCCATTGTCTGGAGCTGCTCGGCTTTTCCCACAGGGATTGCAGCTCCACAGAGCTCCCTGTCAGCCTGCCCGGAACGTGGAGGAGCCAAGGAAAACAAGAAACAGAGGGGGAAAAAAAAAAAAAAGGAAAGGAGAAAGTGCTTTTGCAGGAATTTGGTGGCGCTTTGATGAGTTCGGGCTCATCCAGCACCTTCCACCTGCTCATCCCATCCCTCCCACGCTTCCCACTGCACCCCAGAGCTGGATTTGGGAGCCCTGGATTCGTTTGGCACCGAGGAAAATCAGCTCAGAGCGGCAGGGACCAGGCTGGCCCTTCCCAGCTCAGCCCCCGCCATCCCCCGGGATTCCCGTTCCAGCACGACTCTGGATTTATCCCAAACAAGCTGTTGCTTTGGGGCAGAAATCCACAGGCACGGGAAAACCTGGATATAAATTCTTTCTGGACATGGACACGCTGCTTTATGGATCTGCAGGAAAAAGGGGCCATTTAGGGCCTGGTTTTGGAACCTTTGTGTCACATTCCCAGCTGGAAGTGCCACCTCCCACCTGGTGCCTCTCCTGGCTGGGCTGATCCATAGAATATTTAAGGATATTTAAGGATGTTTAGGAATATATCTGTGCTTGGACACTATTTTTTTTTTTAACCCTTCTGCTTTTTAACCCCTGAGAAGATAATTTGACCTATGTGTGTTGCCAAAAGATTCCTGGGGAGCCCAAAATTCCTGAGGGATGATCCAGGGTCAGCTCTGGGCTTGTGGGTCCCCTTTTGTGCTCAGGTTTGAACCTGTGTCCTGGGAAATGTTACCTTTGCTGCTCCAGATGGGAATTCCCAAAGGAATCCTGCTCTCCCTTAATCTCCCAGCCCTCATTTCCTAAGGAAGAGCTGACAGGAATCAGGAAAAACCCCCAAAACTTTAGGATCAGCACTGGGAGCTGAGCTGCTCATCCTGGTGCTGACTGGGAGGCCTCATTCCCAATATTCCCACTTTGCTGGGGACAGGATTTCCCAGTGAAGCACCACCTGCCCAGTTCAACCCCCTGGCTGTCCCAGTATCCAACTGGTGAGCACTGGTGACCCGATTGCTCCTGCCTGGAGATTTTCCAGCATCTCCACACAGCTCCTGCTCCTGCCAGAAGTGGGACACGGCCTCCAGCAGGGAGCAGGGAAGGAGCTGACCCAGCTCCTGCAGCTCATCCCATGGGCACTTCCAGAGGGGCCAGGGCTCATCCCACAGCCAGGGCAGGGACTGGCACTTCCCAGGGCAGGGTTATTCCCCTTTGGGATTCCCAATCCTGCCCCAAACCAGCCCCTTTCCATAACTCTTCTCCGGGTGCAGCTTCTCCTTCCCTGAATGCAGCTGCAGGACCTCCAGAGCAGCCTCAGAGCCTCCAGGACAGCCCCAGGATGCCCCAGAGCAGCTCCAGGATCCTTGTGGGAAGCCTCAATCCTCTGGGAAGCTCCAGGAACCTCCTGGGAGGTCCCAAAATCTCCTGGGGAGCCCCAGGATGCCCCAGAACAGCTCTGGGACCCTTCTGGGAAGGCTCAGTCTTCTGGGAAGTTCCAGGACACTCTTGGGAATCCCCAGGACCCTCCTGGGAAGCCCCAGGATGCCGCAGGACAGCTCCAAGACTCTCCAGAGCAGCTCCAGGACTGTTCTGGGCACCCCCAGAATTCCCTGGGCAGCCCCAGGATGCTCCAGGACAGCTCCAGGATTCTGCTGGGAAATCTCAGTCCTCTGGAAAACTCCAGCACCCTCCTGGGCAGCCCCAGGACATCCCTGGGAAGCTCCAGGATGCCCCAGAGCAGCTCCAGGATCCTCCTGGGAAGCTCCAGGACCCTCCTGGGAAGCCTCAGTCCTCTGAAAAGCTTCAGGACCTCCCTGAGAAGTCCCAAAATTTCCTGGGAAGCCCCAGGACTTCCCAGAGCAGCCCCAACCCCCCCAGAGCCCTGACATTCCCACCCTTTCCCTGTGCCTCCATCCCCATTCCCTCCCCCTCTCTCCAGGATCCATCCGCGGGCATTTCCCACCCTATCCCAAGGAATGGCAGCTCGTGGCACCCACGGGGGCTGCAGATCCCGGGGTGACCCTCAGAGGCTCCCCCAGCCCAGCAGGATCATCGCTGTCCCCACCCTGAGCCGAGCCTGGCAATCCTCTTAGGGCAGTTTTAGCGGGATAATCGCGTTAAGCCGCCCCGTGGTGCCGGCACAAACCCAAAAGGGGAAGCAGAAGGTGCCGAGGAGCCGGCAAAGCCGAGCTCCTTAAGGAATTAAGAGACATGGGAGATGGGAGAGCTCTGATGGGATCTCAGGACAAGGCTGAGCTTTGGGGTTTGTCCATCCAGGGAAGCAATTCCCAGGAAATTGGTGCCACACAGCCCCAGCCTGGAATCTGCAGCGCCAAAGCCTTCCCAGTGTGAGGTTGGTGATCCCAGAAAAACCAAGGGAAGCAAAAAACTTCCAAAGGAACTGAGAACTCCATTGCTGCGAAACTTCCTATCATCAAAAAGCAGCTGGGAAAAAATCCCTCGGAGAATCTTTCAGGGATTGTTTTCATTATCTCTTCCCCCCGACAATGTGTTCCCAGGAGTGGCACTTCCTCCACAAAGCTGGAAATTTCATGGAATAGCCTTCCCTGCTGGGAGAATTCCAGCTGGTTTTCCAAACTCTTCCTCACCAAGGCCCCTCTGGACACCCTCCCTCCTCCCTGAGTTTGTTTATATGCTTTGAATCCCGTTAGGAAACCATCTCCCTCCTTCAGCGCTGGTTTATCCAAGTTTCCATATTTAGTTCTTTCAGCTATTCCTGTTCCTGAACCAGCTTTCCTGCCGGGACCTGCTGCATCCCAGTTTTTCCCTCCAGGAATTATCCCACATCCTCCCTGCACTGACGGATGCTTGCACTCCCTGAGCCGATCCCAAATCTCTCCCCAGGCCCTAATCCCGGCTTTGGGAACGCCCCGTGCAGCCCGAGGTGCTGCCCATGGGATGGGGAGCTGGGAATTGCGGGATTTTAGGGAGGGACAGAGTTAAAGGCGGTGAAGGAGGCTTTGCTCCTGGCACGTGGCTCCATGTCAGCCGGCAGAGGCAACGCAGGGAGAGCGCCGGAGGAATTCACGGCCGGAGGAATTCACCGGGAGCAGGGAGACGCTGCCTAGAGGGAAATCGGTGTTTGGATCCCGGCAGCCAAGGTGAGTCCAAGGGCAGCGCTGGAATCGCCGCCTCTGCTCCCAAACCTCCTCCCCCGCCAGGATCCAGGGCACCCCGACGTCCCCATGGTGTCCCCATGGTGTCCCCATGGCTGCTCCAGCGGGATGGCAGCTGGAGGTTGGTGCGTTCCCAAAGCCCGGCTGAGCGGGGTCGGCTGCAGTGCCCCGGGGCTCCCGAGGTGCCGGGGGGCTGCCTGGGGACTCTTGGGGTCCAGGTGACCTCAGGGGTTGGCAGCTGCTCCTGGGGTCCAGCTGGGGCAGAAGGGGCAGGTGGCAGCTCCAGAGTCCAACTGGGGGCTGGAGGATCCAGCTGGAGGGTCTGGGGTCTGGCTGGGGGCTTTGGGGTTTGTTTGAGGGGTGTAGGGTCCTACTGGAGGCTCTTGGGGTCCCATTGATGGGTGTGGGGTCTGGCTGAGGGCTTTGGGGTCCAATTAATGGGTGCAAAGTCGAATTGATGGGTGTAGGGCTCAACCTGACGCTTTTGGGGTCCTGCTGATGGGTGTAGGGTCCAATTGGAGGCTCTTGGGGTTTGGTTAATGGGTGTAGGGTCCCGTTGATGGGTATGGGGTGCAGCTGGAGGCTCTTGGGGTTCAGTTGATGGCTGTAGGGTCTGATTGAAGGATGCAGGCTCCATCTGGTACCTCTTGGGGTTGAATTGCTGGGTTTAGGCTCCATCAGGTACTTCTTAGGGTTCAGCTGCTGGGTTTAGGCTCCATCAGGTACCTCTTGGGGTTCAGCTGCTGGGTTTAGGGTCCAGCTGGTGCCTCTTGGGGTTCAGCTGCTGGGTTTAGGGTCCAGCTGGTACCTCTTGGGGTTCAATTGCTGGGTTTAGGATCCATTTGGTGCCTCTTGGGGTTCAACTGCTGGGTTTAGGGTCCAGCTGGTGCCTCCCAAGCTCTGGTTAATGGGTCCAGACTCCAGCTGAAGGCTGTAGGGTCCAGCTGGAGGTTTTTGGGGTTCAGCTGCTGGGTTTAGGATCCATTTGGTGCCTCCCAAGCTCTGGTTAATGGGTCCAGACTCCAGCTGAAGGCTGTAGGGTCCAGCTGGAGGTTTTTGGGGTCCAGGACCCACTTGAAGGCTGTAGGGTCCAGCTGGAGTCTCCCGGTGACCGGCCGCTCCTTCCATCCCCCCTTAGGATGCAGCTGGCGGCTGCCCGGTCCCGCCGCTGCCGCGGGCGCTCCGGCCGCCCCCTCCCCTCGCCCAGCTCCCGGTGCCTCCCCGCTCCGCCCGCGGCGGCGGCGGCAGCGGTGAGTGCCCGCGGGGTGCGGCGCTCCGGGACAGCGGCGACAACCCCGGGCCCCGCGGCCACCGGGCCCGCACCTGTCCCGGAGCATCCCCGGCCGGCGGCGGGGGAGCGGGGAAGGTGAATTTGGGGATGCCCGGCGCGGCTGCGCTACCGGCGAGCAGCGGGATGCGCGCTCCGGGAGCTCCGGGAGGAGGGATGGAGGGAGAGGAGGGGGCTCGACCCCCGTGGGGACAACGCCGGGGGTCCCGCCGTGCCCCGCGGCTGCCGGCACCCCTAAATGATCGCCCAGGCTCTGAACCGGGATGCGAACCCCCCAAAATCATCGGTGCGCCGACAAGCGGGGAGCTGCGGCCGCGCTCCCCCCGTTCCCGGGGGCTCCCCGGGCCGGTTCCCCGGAGCCTTTCCCGGTGCGGGGCGGGCAGCGCTTCCCGGCCGGCGGCTGGGCACCGGGAGCGCCTTCCCGTGCCATCCATCATCTCGCTGAAAGCCCGTTGACGTCAACCCCGTCCCGTGCACGCCGGTCCCAGCGCCGGGAAAACCGGGGTAGGGACCGGGAGAAGCGGGGAGGGTCCTGGGGAGGATCAGCCCCGGGGCGTCGCACCGGGCTCGGCTCGTCCCGGGCTTCCCGGCGGCTCCAGCCTGGGATTTGTGCGTGGGTTTGCCTCTTCCTCCTTCCAGAGCCTCCTCCGCCCTCCGTGGGGTTTGGGGCAGGTGCTGGGGTCGGTTCTGGAGGGAAGATGGTTCAGGAAGGGGTGAGGAAGGGTGAGACCGTGCCCTGGGATGGGCAGAGCTCCTGTGCTGCTCCCCCTGCCACAACCAGGGGGACAACAAGTGGGGACAGCCCCTGGGCATCACCCTGGCACCCCAACGGGCTCAGGCCTGGCTGGCCACAGGGTCCCCTCTGTCCCCAGGGCCACTGCGTGGGAGCTGGCACTGAGGGTGGCCCCCACGGGAGGGGGTGGCTGTGAGGGGTTCTGTGGTGGGCAGTGCCCATTCTCAGGGATCTGAGGGGCTCTGTGGTGGGCAGTGCCCATTCCTGGGGGTCTGAGAGGCTCTGTGGTGGGCAGTGCCTGTTCCTGGGGCTCTGTGGTGGGCAGTGCCCATTCCCAGGGATCTGGGACCCATGGGAAAGAGGCTTCCAAGGCTGAACCCCCTCTCTGGGTGCCCAGGGAACATCCCGGGGCTGCGCCGTTTGTTTCCTTTGTGAGCTGGGAGTGGGAGGCTGCGGATCCTCCGGGAGCAGGGGATGGGCTTTGCTGCCAGGCACGGGAGCCTGGGGCTGTTCTTCCACCACAGGACACGGGAGCACCTGCCCAAACCAGCCCTGCCTGATCCCCTGGCTGTCCCCAACCCATCCCTGCCTGATCCCCTGGCTGTTCCCAGACCATCCTTGCCTGATGTCCCAACTTCTCCCAAACCATCCCCGGTTTCATCCCCTGGCTGCTCCCAAACTGTCCCTGCTTTCATCCCCTGGCCATTCCCAAACCATTCCTGCCTGATCACCCTGGCATTCCCAAACCCTCCCTGTGTCCATCCCCCATCCCTTCCCAAACTCTCCCAGTTTCTATCCCCCAGCCCTTCCCAAACCATCCCTTTGTTCCTCCCCGGCCATTCCCAAACCCTCCCTGTGTTCACCCCCTGACCATTCCCAAACCCTCCCAGTTTCCATCCCCAGCCCTTCCCAAACCCTGCCTGTGTTGCTCCCTTGGCCATTCCCAAACCCTCCCAGTTTCCATCCCCAGCCCTTCCCAAACCCTGCCTGTGTTCCTCCCTGGCTGCTCTCCTCTCAGCTCTCCTCTCAGCTCTCCTCTCAGCCCCAGTTCTCCGTGTGCCCGTTTCTTCCCGCACCGACACCTCCCCGAGGCCGCTCCCGCTGTGCTCACACCTCTCTCCCTCTGTTCCATCTTCACATCCCTTTGTGAGGCCAAACTCCTGCCACCTCCCACACTGCCAGCCTCTCGCTTTGTCCCCATTCCGGCCTTTGCGGGACGGGGACAGAGGGTGACATTGCGGCAGCTTGGCCCCACATCCGGGGGTGAATCCCCCCCTTCCATCCACCCCGAGCTGCTGCCATCCCTGGAGCTCAGCCCTTTGGGAAGCCTCACACGGATACAAAATGCAGTTTAAGGTGATGAAAATCCCTAATTTTCCTGCTGATTAAAACTGGAGCTGTGTGACAGCAGCTCTTGGCGTCCCTGTCAAGGCACTTCAAATGTTTTGTCACCACATCTCCGCGAGCAGGGAGAGAGCCTCGGTTAGGAATGATTGGGAAGGGATTGACAGCCCCGCTCCTCCCGCTGCCTGCCGGGATCAGGAGCTCCTTCCTCACCCTGGGATGCTCAGCTGGGAGCCTCTCCAGGCTCCTCACCCTTTCCACAGACAAAAAGACTCCTGGACATGGACATTTCACCCTGGAAATTGGGAATTGTGCAGATTTTAGTTGTTGGGTGGTGAAGCAACACCAGAGCTTTTGGCCTCGTCTTCTCACAACTGCTCTGGGGAGCAGCACCTCGCTGGGATCATCCCGTGTCCCTCATCCCATCCTCCTGCTCTTCCAGGGATGCAGGAGCTGCTGACACCCCCAGAGAGCCACCCCAGCTCCTGTGCCACAGCGAGGGGTGTTTGCTGCAGGCTCTGCCCCTCCTGGCATCGCTCTGGCTCCCAGAACTCTTCCCAAGTTTTCTGCTGATCCCTGAAGAAGCTCAGGAATAATTGTGCAACCTTAGCAGTTAAAAAAGCAACTTTTTTTCTGCAAACAAAGCTGCTCACCCCCGGCTCCTGCTGGGCACTGGAGCCAGCTGGGATCTGCGGGATGGATGAGGCTGGGCAGGGAATGTCAGATCCAGCCAGGCTGTTGGCACATCCCGCTGCTGGATGTGGATTTGGGGATGTGGCTGGGTTCAGTGACCCATCCTGGAGTTGGTGGCTCATCCCTGGAGACCCCAGGAGCACTGGGCAGGTGCCAGCAGCCGAGGGTGGAACCTGAGGGATTTCAGGCTCCAGAGCTCCTGGAAGGCACAGGGATATTTGCCAACGTGGAATGGGAAGGACCAGGGCGATCTGCTGGGTGCTGCTGGAAGGAAATCAGATGTTCCCTGCTGCTAGGAGCAGCAGAAAGCCGGAGCTGAGAGCAGCCCTTCCCCTGGAGGAAGCAGCTCCATGAAATATTGATGGGATTCACACACGGCAGCCGAGCCGTGCGAGCTGCATTGCAGAGCTCGGAGCCGGAAAGGCAGCGGCAGCCGGAACGGGAAAAGCTGCTCTGCACCTTCCCTCTGTGCCAGGGAGATCAGCCCTGGCACGGCCCTGCCAGCCCTCGGTGCCACCAGGACAAGGGTTGGGAGCTGAGTGGGGCCATCCCGTTCCAAACCCATCCCAGGTTTCTTGCATCCCCGTGGAGCTGCCCCGGTTTTTGGGGATTTTTGGGGATTTGTGGGGCCACACGGCTGCAGCGTCCCACTGCCCACGGTGCCAGCTCCTGCGTGTCCCCAGCGAGGTCCTGCTCCATCCCCAGCTGCCCGTGGTGGCCACAACCAGCACGGAGGTGCCACCAGAGCAGATTATCCCCGCTCTGTCCTGGGTTATCTCCAGGATGTGTTGGACCATGAGGAATGCTCGGTGCTTGCCGCAGTGTCCCCGTGGCTCTGGTGGCCAGTTGGGCTCGGCGGGCACTGGCTGTCCCCCAGCCTGGCCCTGCCGGGTGCCTTTTGCTCCTCGGATTCCTTGATGTTGCCAA